AAACCTAATCTGGAATCTCTGTTGTGATCCAATGGGTTAAGCTGTCACTCAAGATGGCAGCATCCCACAGAGCACTAATTTGAGTCCTGGATGCGCCGCTTGGACTCTTGCCTCCCATGTGAGGAACCCAGGTGAAATTCCAGGGTAGTGGGTAGACCTGGCCCAGAGCTGGCCATTGTGGTCTGTTGAGAAGTAAACCACCAGAAGGAAGGGCAATTGTACATACTCTCACTCACTTTTTACTCGCTTGCTCACTCACTCCAAAACTCTGTTTCAAATAAATAAATATGTTAAAAGAAGGAAATCGTAATTTTATTTTTTTGTGTGCAAAAGTCTGTATCTTTACAAACTGTGCATTGAAGCACACACCAAAATACAATGGGCTCAAGAATATATAGTTTCAAAATGTATTTCTCTTTAAAACATTTATAATTAGCTTGCAAAATAAAGTGAAAAATACAAATAATAATCAACCATTCTAAAAATTATAATAAAAATATTTGCTGTTATGTTCTGTGTGAACTTTCACCAGAAAGTTGTTAGGTTTTTTCAAGTTATTTGGTCTTTAAGACAACCTATGGATTTTCTATCAGGATCCTTAAAATTCTTCTAGTCTCTATAAAGTATCAATTTCAAAAGCACTTTCATAATGTTAGGCATCTGTTAAAGCAGTACCACACTCCTCAGTATCAACCTTGGTATTATTCTGCTTAGACTGTCATCACAGTACCATGCACAGTATCATGCTCTGCGTGGCTTAAATAGCAGGGATTTTTTTTTTTTTTTTTGTCACAGTTCTGGAAGTTCAAAGTCCAATATCAAGATTTGGCTGGGCTAGTTTGTTCAGAGGATTCTGAACAAAGGATCTAGTCCAGATATCTCTCCTTTGCATTCAGTTAGTTGTCCTCCCCCCCCCCCCCCGTTTCTACACTTTGGCCTATCCCTGTGTACTATGCCCAGATTTTCTTTCTGTAGGAACCTCAGTGGTACCAGATTTTGGCCCACTCAGATGACCTTATTTTAAATTGATTTCCTCTATAAGTTCATATTGAGTTTCTGTGGATTAGAGCATCAACATATGAATTTTAGAAGGACATAATTCTACCTATACAGAAAATTTCAGGGCAATTTGAGAGTAAGCTGTAGGGTTTATTAATTTTATAGGCAAATGTTCTAAAGGCAAGCATGTTTTACATAGTCACAGAAAAATAATCAAATAACAGAAAAAATATTGGTACTGCACAATTATCTGTCAACATTAAAATTTCTGGTATTTTCACAGTTGTGTGCTTTGTAGCAATTTTAATTGACTAAGAAGCAATCAAGAATATTGTGTTGTTGTGAAATTTCTTCAGTGTTTTTTAGTTGAAATTGTTTCTGGTCTTTGTCATTTGAAAAAGTAGGATACTACCTTGTAAATTACCAGCTATTTTGTAGAAAGACTCAAAAATGGGGTTTGTGTGATAGTAAAAACACAAGCAACTATACATGCATATTCATATTTTGAGATTTATTTGTTTACTTATTTATTTATTTTATTGGGAAGGCAGATTTACAGAGAAAAGGAGACAGAAGGATGTTTCTGCTGCTGATTCATCCCTGAATGACCTCAATGGCTGGAACTGAGCTGATTTAAAGCTAGGAGCTTCTTCCAGGTCTCCAAAAAGGGTTTAAGGTTACAAGGTTTTGGGCCATTTCCTGCTGCTTTCCCAGGCTACCAGCAAGGAGTTGGGTGTGATTAAGCAGCCAGAATGTGATCCAGCACTCCTATAGAGTGCTGGCATTTGCAGGCTGAGCACTAGCCAGTTGAGCCACCGTGTTTGACTCCCACTCCATGCACACATATTTTATAAGCAATAACATTTTAGGGCAATAGATTTAATATTAAGGTTTATCAATTAAACAGTTAATATTGCTCTCTTTAACGGTTGTGAATGCCACAATAAGTTGTGAATATATTTCGTGACATTAATTGGAACATGAAAGCAACCAAGAAAATGAAACTCAGCATATATAAACTGGTAACTGTATTTTCCAAGAAGAAAGAATTTTTTTTTTGTTTCAAATGCATTTTGCCAGCACTATCCTTTTCTTAACTCAGTGTCATTTCTACCATCTTGATGTCGCCCTTATTAAATAGTGACATTCCTCTAGTAAAAACCATCTACCGCCACATTGTTGTTAAATCCAAAGTGGGTTTTTTTCCCTTTATTTTTGACAATCTTTACATAGTTAATTAGGGCACAAAAGGTTCAAGGGCTACAGGAAAGTGGTAAGACTATTATTTCCACATTTTTTCCTGTATCTGGGGTAAAGGGAGAGATAAACAGAGAAGCCCCACCCAGTCTCCCATCCATCACAGGTCTTCTATGTGGGGCATGCTCTGAGGGTCTTGCTCAAGTGGTTTCGATAATTCAACATTTATGAATTGCTGCCAATCTCATCATTCCAGGCACAGTGAAGTTGTTGCAGAATCCAGTGATTGCCATAGTTCACCTTAGAGTCTCCTTTAGTCCAGTCTTTCACTGCCAACATATGGCTGGGGTAGTTGATTTGTTCTGTCCTCTGTTGTAATGCCAGGTGTCCTCTGCAGGTTCCAATGGACTGCCGTGTCATCCATGTGCACCTGGTGATGCTGTTCTCTTTCTGTATATATCTAAAAAGTATGTGACATATTCCGTAACATATTCCTGTAGTGTGCACTCAGTAAATGCGCATGAGGTGAATCAGTCTTATTTGATGTCATAGTATCATTTGCCAACCATGCTCCTGTAAAATTTTCTATTTATGCTCTTATGAAATTTTCTATTTTCTTGATTCAAAATTAAGAGGCTGGGGAAGGTATTCTTTTTAATTTTTTAGCTTCCTCCTCCTTAATCTCCTTCTAAATTTCTTTTTAAATGTTTCTGCTATGAAAAGGCTTTCTCATAATGATTAAAATTTCATTGTAATAACCACATTCCATATAACAGCATCTGGGGTTGAGTTCTAAATCCTCTTTAAGTTCTACTTTCCTGGCATTTTACATCCTGGGAGTCAACAATGATGGCTTATATAGGAGACCTGAACAGATTTCCTGACTCCTAACTCCAACCATTGTGGACATTTGATGGGTGATTCACTGGATGGGAGCTCTCTGTCTCTCTTTTTATTTCTGCCTCTCTGCCCTTTAAATAAATAAAATGAATATATTTATGAATTAAGCATTGTTATTAGTCAGGTAACAGGGTGTTTCTCCCTATCTAAATAAGAACATTATCTGATCTTCAGCAATCTCCAGATGCCCTGAGTTTTCAATATCTTATCTGCAGCTCAGATTTCTTTTCTGAACCCAAAATCATAAATAAAACTCATCTATATATGGTCTGGCAACTTAAATTCATATAAACTGAATTGAACACCCAATTCCATCTCCCGAATTTACCCTCCCTCCTGCATTTTTCAGTCTAATTTCCCAAAGGTAGAATTCTTGATGTCATCTTTTACTAATCCTTTTCCTTTACCTCAATCCAAACTGATCTCTGGATCCTGTGAATTATGTTTTCTAAACATTTCCTGAATTTTTTTTCTTTCTATTACTATGACCGCTGCTTGATTTAGACTCTTACCACTTCACTTATATTATGGTAATAACTTTAACTTCTAGGTTTTAACTTTGTTCTACATGCTATCCTCAATTCAACTTTTTACTGTCTTGTCAGTGTAATCTTAAAAAAAAATAAATCTACTCATGACATTTCCTTAATTTTAAATCCTCCTGAAGCTCCCTAGTTGCTCTCAGAATGAAATATACTCTCCTCAGATGGCGTTCAAATCCCTGCTTACCTTTTCAGCCTCCTATGTCAATACTTTATCCTTGCACTCTATAATCCAGCTGTACTGAAAAGCTTAAAATTGCCTGAGAATTTGTACGAATAAGCCATTCACCAGTTCAGTAGCTTGGATCAGGTGACATTACTCTGTAGCACTCATCACTGGTTCATAATTTCCTGCAATTAAAATCATTAGGTCATCTATGTATCTTAAGCATTTAATTTCATCTTTCATATGTGCTAGTACTTCATTAGATATTAAACAAAACATTAAACATATTTCCTTATCACCTCATCCTTCTCTATCTGTTGATAGATATGTGACTAGAAATAATGATAACACAAAAATAACACAGAATTATATACAATCAGACTTCTAACAGAGGTGTCATTAGATAAGATTCTTGATGTTTGACTATTATAAAGGGATCTCCACAATCCTGTATGGGAAATGTTAATCACTTGAAGTGCCCTCTTGCTACAATCCAGGCATGTAGTAAACAAAAGATAGCCTGAGATATCTGCACATATAAACTACTGTACTTGTTTTTTTAAATATCATATAGGGTACATGCTATAATAATAACAAAGAGTATAATAACTATGTAAATTGTTATTACTGTTTTTATCAAGTATTACATATTGCATGCAATTTTACATGAATATGTTTATATGCATGGCAATATAGTAGGTTTATTTACAGCAGAATCATCACAAACTTATGAGAAATACATTATGCAATGATGCTCTGGTGAACTTTCACATCACTAGGCAATTGGAAATTTTCAGGTCCATTATAATCTTATGGGATCACAGTTGTATATATTGTTCATTGTTGACCAAAACAGCCTTATGCATCACATGAGAGTATAATCTATATGCATGGATATAACTGCTATAGACCAGGCAATATTCAAAGTGCTTTTATATATAAAGCTAACTCTTTTAATCCTCACAATATATCATATATTCCCATTATTCAGAATCTATAGCTCAGAGAGATCATGTGAATTATCTTGGATCATGTAATGGTTAAGTAACAGAGGTAGTATTCAAACCAGGCTTGCCTGTAGAGTTCTTAATAGGCCCTTAAGAAGAGGAAAAAGGAAGAGTGTATTTCATGTAGCATCCAAAATTACATTATCAACTTCCAAATTCTTAATAGTTGAAAATACGTTATTTTTGTGTGTGCTTGCTTTGGCAGCACATATACTAAAATGGAATGATACAGAGAGGATTAGCATGGCTCCTGTGCAAGGATGACATTCAAATTTGTGAAGTGGTCCATTATTTTCATTCAGTAGCATGTTATTTAACTTCATAGTATTGTAAGTTTCTGGTTTTTCTTCCTGTTGTTGATTTTGTTTTGTGGCTTTTCATTTAAGGAGATGTATAGTAACTGTGTAATTGAGACGATCATATTCAGTGGATTGTTGTTTTATGGCATTGTAAATTTGTGTTTTTGGTTTTGTTTTGTGACTTTTTATTTGGGGAGGTTTACAGTGACTGTGTTGTGGAGACTGACATGTCCAGATGTGAGGATACAGTGCAGTGTGCATCTCTACTTTCAGTTCGAGGATGAACTCCCAGTAAAACTGTTGGAATTGTCTTGAAAATGGAATGCTGGACTCACTGCTGTTGTCCATGCCTGGAATGATGGGTTTTAAACTGTTTGTGAGGAACTATACTGTTGTAATGATATGGGAGAACTCAGTGGAAGGGGAGACTGGGGTGGAGTTGGGGAAATTCCAGGCCTGTGGAACTGCAACATAAAATGATGATGATGATGATAGAAAGAAAATACATTTTTGTCATTCAGACTTTATGTGATTTATGTAGAACACAGTTCGAAAATTAACATTGGTTTTGTTAATTTACAATGTTATTATTCAGATTTTTATTTTTGCTTTTCTTTCCTAGGTTTATGCTTTATTATTTAAGTGCCTCTGATGTTTTCTATGCTCTTCATAACATTCACCACTTTATATACAGCCCAGGTCAATTATCATACATAGTAGCTTTGAGAATTCAAAACACTTGGCTGTCATGATTTTTAACACCGAAACTTATTTTAGTTATTATTAAAAGTAATGTTTTCTGCTTTTAGCTTTCTTATACTCTAAAGAAATTATTGCAAACTTCTTTTTTTTGATTGTTTTGAACCTTGTCCTAGTCACCTCATACTACCAAGATACTGAGTATCTTAATTGGCAGAAAGTTATTTCTCACAGTACAAAAAGCAGGAAAGTTTAAGACCAAAATTTCCATTTTACAAGTATTATTCTATAATCCGTTAGTTTGGTGGGAACTACCATCTTGCTGTGCATTCACATGGCTTTTTTTTTGTGCATGTACACATTATTCTATCTCCGTCTCCCCCATTGCCTCTTCTTACAAGGGTACTATCCCCATTATGAAGGCCCCACACTTGTTACTTCCCCTAAACTCAATCACCTGTCAAAGACAACATATCCTTTGGCACCCTCCTGGCAGTTATGATTTCAACATGAATTTAGAGGGTGGAGGGAGCACAAGACCACAGAAAACTGGAAAATGAAAATTAAGTAATGGATCACAACATTAATAAATTATATATGTACCCAACCCCCTAAAACAATCTAGATTTTTAAAAACATAACCTTCTCCAATGGTAGTTTTTTTTTTTTTCCATGCCAACTGAAAACTATAGTTTCCCTGAATTGCAATTTTTCTGAGACAGGGTTTTAGATATGTATTAACTTTAAGATCAATGACCATATCTCTTGAAAGTTTCATAATTCATTACACAATGTCTCACTATTTGAAATTCAATTGCTGTCATGTGCCCCATTTCTTTTTCTAATCTGAGTTGTGTATTGCTCAAAGCAGTGTCCATTAAAGACATGTATCAACAACCAGAAACATACTTTGTAACACTGAAGTTTTGAACATGCTGCATAGTGATAATGTTCATCGAGTTTTCTTTCACAGAACATGGCTGTGGCCAGCACTTGTGGCATAAACATTAGTTTTTTGTTTGTTTTTTAAACCGGGACTCCACATTTTTGGCTTATATATAATAAAGAATCAAATATAATAGAAATTTACTGTCATTTGAAACATCATTTGTGTTCCTCTTCAGCACAATTTAAAGATACTAATAAAATGCAAGACTCATACAGTGTGAGGAGTGGGCTGGATATGCAATATGCTAAATCTAAACAGACTGTTTAGTTGAATGAATATAATATGTTAAATTTTGAATAACTTGCATTCTGTGGAAACCCAGATCTGCATATGTTTCTTCAAGTCCCTTGAAATAATAAAGTCTGTTTTCTGTTCTCTATTTCATTTCAACAAGGAAGTAACTTCTTAATACCCCCTCCCTCCTGCCCACCGCAGTGGTGGTGAACTGCGCCAAAATATTCTAGAAAGCAAGTGTAATATATGGCCTTCCTTTCCAGTCCTAGGTTCATACAGAGGATGATCTGCTCATGTGTATTTCACAGAATTAGCTATTTTCCTTTTTCTTTTATAACTTTACCTTTTCCTTTCACTAATGGTTTTTCTTTGAGGTAAGAAGAAGCTAACAGAATGCTCAATTCCTTCCTTGCTTTGAAAACCCTTGTATATGAAACACCCCTCCATTGGTTTAAGAGAAATTTGCATGATCTTGAATAACAACTCCTATGATTGTACCTATATACTCTTCAAGAAAACAAGGACATTTTATATTATTTCTGAAACTTGTGGAAACTTGTGACTCTGGCAGATCTTATGGGCAAGGGCTGTCTTTGTCTTCTCCCTGCATTCACTTAGCATTGGTGTTTAGGAAAAGCGACTGCATGTATGTGCTTATTCACAGAAAAAAAATCAGATTTTCTCACCTAAGCAAATGACCTTCATATTTATAGTTGCTATCTGAAATAGATTCTTTTAGTAAAAGGGAACGTTAAAAGGGTTGTTTGTGACTTTGTCTATTTGAATTGTCATCTTTCTCATGCCTTCTACTTCTTTATATGGACAAATTGCTTTGTTTTCTGAAATCAAACATTCCTGGACCCATTTTTTTTTCTTAGAAATACTAAAGGAATTCTAACTATCTTCTGATTCTCAAATATGTGCATAATTCCCCAGCCCATATCAAAATAGGAAGTAAAAAATGTCATTGGACTTGTTCTCACAACGAATAATACATGTACATATTTGTTGCAGAGAAAGAAGTAATGAATTTTAAAAACACCATCAAGTCTTGAAGGAGTCATGTTTTACAAATATAATAACCAAATATAATTTATCATTTTGTTGTTTTGATTTCTTTGTTTTCAGGGCTTTGAAGTTCAGAGTCAGCCTAAAAAGTTAGAATAACTCTTTGAAAAGTGTTTCCAAAATCACCCCAGGGAAGACATTGAGTCAGAGAACACACCTTTTCACCTTTTCATGAATCAGGATAAGTCACTTTGACTGATTCACTGTCTGACCACTGGGCAAAGTATAAATCATGTAGGAAAATGTCAGTTGAAATGTTAGTGCACTTTAAGGTCATCTGTTGAATTTTTAGTGTGTACCTGTATCATCTTCAAAAACCCCAACAGTAAAGCACAGTGCTAAAGCAAAGAACATTTACTCTTCATTATCAGCCCTTAGAAACAGACAAGCTGCATCACATTCAAATCCACGAAAGAATCAATGTGGCAAAAATAAATACATGGAGCGAAGAAATAGAATTTAGTGATGTCTGCTCATCAGATTGAAATCTATTTAGCACAGAAAAAAAATCCCTGCTTTCCCTCGAAGCAAACAAGTTCCCTAAAACATTTTTTAAAGCAAAGAGAAGTTGCAAGATTTGCACAGTGGCAAAATAAATAATGAAAGGAAGCTATAAAATCAAGGTATGAAACTTAGGCAGTCACTTTTCCTGCTAAGAATGACCTGGATACTTTATTAATCTACCAAATTTGTCACATTTTGGAATAATTTAGAAAAAAATATCCTGAACATTTGCTGTGTCATCAGTAAGTGTCCATATCAACAATAATGCTATCAGACTGCATTTATTTGATGGTGCTTGTAATGTATGGCATGCTAAAAAGGCAGTCTGAGAGGTTTTTTTCCTTAATTCCAAAATAAACTATATTATTCCATCTTATAAAAATATAAGGTGGAGATTATATGGATGTGATTCATAACCAAACAAAGTAGCAATTCAACATGGTAAAGGAAAACCACAGCAACTATTACACCCAATATTGTGGAAAATTGTTAATATGTATGACAGTACTTAACACTCTATCAAAGCAAATTTAAGGGGCAATTACAACAATTTATCAAGCACTTGCCAAACTACTATGTACAATATGCTATTCACTATTAAATGCCAATTTGGAATGCTGTAGCTCAAAATCTTTGGGTCTTTAAGTGAAATTGCTGGAAATATCTAGACAATGGGATGCTGGACTGTTTGCTATTGTCTGTACCATTAATGTTGGAACATACTTAAATAAGAGACTGATGGAATTATAATATACTATTGTAACACTACGGAAAAAACAGTATAGGGGTTGGAATTTGGGGCTGGGGAGGGGGAACCCGACCCTACAAAATTATATCATAAAATTAAAAAAAAAATGAAAGTATGAAACTCCCAAATATAAACCTACGCTAAAGTTAACAATAAAAAAAAATCATGAAATGGTTGGCTATTATCTTGAAATTATTAAAGTAAGAAATTTCTTGTGAGAATAAAAAATAAGCCGTTGGTATCCACTGAGACCATCACCACCACTCCAATGAAATGTCCATGAATCAGAATCAGAAGACTTTATGGCACTTACTACTGTATTCCATCATCCAAATTTCTGGTGCTTAACAGTTACTCAACTGATATGCTTTAAAGGGAGAGATATACCCAGAATTCACATATTCTAAAGCAGATCAATGTGTCTGGAAATGTTTTGGATAACCCTGAAGTAAATCTGAAGGAAAAGCACAGCTTACAAAGAATTGTATTTCTTATACCACAGTTGTAGAACATGATGCTATATACAAGCCAGTAAGAATACAGTAAAATATAGGTGTGACATAATGGCTCAGTTGCTAAATCCTTGCCTTGCTCATGCTGTGATCCAATATCATCACTGGTTTGTGTCCAGCCTGTTCCACTTACCATCCCACTCTCTGCTTTTGGCCTAGGAAAGAAATAGTGGATGGCCCAAAGCCTTGGGGCCCTGCACCTGCTTAGGACACCTGGAAGAAACTACTGGCTCTTAACTTGGGATCAGCTCAGCTGCAGCTATTGAGGCCACTTGGGTATTG